TGTGTTGTTTGATCTGACAAAAAGTATATATAGTAATCTTGAATTTGTTTATATAAATATTGTTACAAAAAGTTTAAGTATCGAGGATTGGAATAAACTTTGCGATAAAGATTTTGTAGAACATTTTAGTCCACCTGAACCTAGAAAACATTTCTTGCATCTATCTTATTTTTACAAGCAAGGTTATGATGAAGAGAGTGCAATAGAAGAATTAAAGGCCAAAGACATTGCACAATGGGAAGATACCTGTTATAATGCTAAAGATAATTTTGAGGATTCAGTAGCAAAAGATTTATGCAAAACATATTCAGCGAATCATTGGGAAGCTATATGAGAGCTTTTACAGTCGCTTGGTTTTACAGGTATAGATGATAAATGCATTCTCTTTGATGATCAGGTAAAAATCATATTTGAGGCATCTTGTGAAAAATTTATAGAAATTTAAAGTCAAGCTTTATTGCTCTTTGGCTTTAGGTTTCGTGTAAAAGAAATACCAGATCTTAAATCAGCTATAAAGGCAATCAATACAATTGTTGGTAATTGGTGTAGTTATACTATAAAAAGTGAACGAAAATTGATAGAATCTAAAGAACAATAGATTTAAAAATATTCATATCAAATTAATCAAAAGTCATATAACAGTTGTAGTTTTAATAATCAAGAATAAGTAATAGCTAGAAAGTTAAATAATCTTGAATATTACTCTATAGCTCTAGTTCTTTTATCATATAAGCCAAAGGTAAGTAATGAGATTCAGGATCTTTTTAAATATGTTAAGTATAAAATTTCTGACTTGTCTAGTAGGATGATTAATGAAAAAGGTTTATCTTTAGAAATGCTAGCTCATAATCAATCTTCTGGTCTTTCCTAAGCTAAATGCCATATTAATACTACTATTAGTAAAGCCAGGACAGTTGAGAAAAAAATACCTGAATCCTTAACTTTTCTATCTTTAGAATTTCTTATTAAAAATAAATCAGATATAAACACCCTTATCTTTCTTTTACAGCAAAAATTCCAAATGTCTAAAAAAGGGTTAAAACAATGGCAAATCAAGATTATCTTTGAATTGCGAAATAATCAAAATTACTGGAAAAAAGAGCGTGAGAGTATGAGTGAGGCCAACTTCTTAAAATATAAACAAAATTTTGAGACTAAGATAGATGTATCTACTACTTTGCACAAAAAGGAATTGAAAAATAAATCTTTGGCACTCATTGAATATATGTAACTATTGTTTAAGATAATATCATTTAGTTTTAGTAATAATTTCTGAAACAGAGAGATTGCTATATTTAACTAGTTATTCATCTCAAGTAGAAGGTTTTTGTCACCTCTTACAATAAGTATAAGAAAAAATTCAAATAAAAAATTAATGCTTTCGATATCTAGACAATATAAAGGAACTTTTGTATCATGTAATTTTTATCAAACTCGAACTTTATATATCATCAAATGAATATCAAAAAAGTGATATACAAAAGTAGGCTCGAAGAGTCATGATTCTTTGAATTGCCTAATGGTCTGCTCGCAATAGAAAAAAATTGAGCTTTTATGTATTATTTAGGTAGATAATAGCAGAGCCAGTATAAAGTGTTAAAAAGTGATATACAAATGTTATCAAAAAGTCATATGCAAAGGTAAGAAAAAATTTGAGCTTTTATATATTATTAGGTAGATATCAGTAGAGCTAGCATGAAGTGCCAAAAAAGATAATATACAATAGTAAGAAAAAATTGAGCTTTTATGTATTATCAAGTAGATATCAAAAAAGTGATACACAAAAGTTAGCAGAAAAGTGATATGCAAAAGAGTATATATAAGTATGATCTGATTTTTTTAGCATCTTATACTAGTTTCACTACTATAAAGTAGCAATATTTGAACTACTAACTATGCGAGAAGAGCTTTTAAAACTGAAAAATAAAGATTAGATAGTATAATTTAGATATAAAAAAAGTGATATGCAAAGGCAGAATATTATAAGGAAAGAGATAAGATAAATTTTTTGCTTTTACATATCACCAAGTAAGAATAACAATTCAGTACTATGTGCCTCATCCTCAGGTAATATAATAAATAACAATTTGGCACTATGTGCCTCAACTCTGGCCCTCATCAAGGAATTAACCAAAAAGCTAGAGCACTATGTGTGATAACAGATATATGATCCCGTTGTTACTCAAATAATGATGCAAGCATGAATCATTCATTACTCAAATGATGGAGCGAATACTAATATATCTCTGACAATGCAAGCGCGAATCGTTCATTACTCGAATAATGACGCAAGCTTAATAAAGGTCAAAATAAGTAGCTATAAAAGAAGTAGATAACAATATACCCATAAGTAGATAACAATATTTTCTTATAAGTAGGTAACAACCTAATGTAAGTAGGTAGCAATATATATATATTGCTACCTACTTTTGGCTGTATTAATATTGGATTGTTAGTTATAGTTAATTATATTTAGTATAGAGAAGATTCTATTGAGTAATAGAATAAGGCACAGTAAGTGCTATAACTAGGCATCATAAGCACATATTACAAGTGCCTTTAAGTATCTTTACAACAGTGCCTCCGAGTGTCTCTACTATAGTACTTTTGAATGCCTTTACTATAGTGTCTCTGATTGCCTCTATATAATTAAACAATTATATTATTAGTAAAAAAGTTATAAAAAAGAAACCTTTGCTTCTTCTACTCAAGTTAGAGTTCATTACCTTCTTATAAAATCTAGCCCTACCCCTTTACTCTTCTCTACTTGTAAGGTATAATATTCCCTCTTTAGAGTAATTTCTATAGACAAGATTATTACTGTGAATTTGATTTTAATAAATATTGTTATTTATAAACTGTTATTATCCCAAACCATTTGCCTTCTGCTATAAAGTTAAAGTATATACTTTACATCCATTTCATGTATATTCATAAAGTATATTACTACACCAGGTGACATTGTTACTTTGCTATAATTATACTAAGAAGGCTATAGCATTGTAACAATATATAGTTTAATAGTTAGATATTTCAAAATAAATTTTTAAAAAACCAGTTTTATAGCTTTACAAACAAAGTTAAAAAGCTTTTCTTTTAAACTTGAGTAATTTAAAAAGTAATTAGATTTTTTTTTTATTTAAATAAGAAAAAAAAAAACTATAACTTTGTTTGTAAAACTTTATTTAATCTTTGCAAAATTTTGTATACATCTATTTAAATTTTATAAAAAATTCTATATTTTATTATTATATAAAATTTTAAAATTTTAAATTTAAGTTTAATAAAGATAAGAGCAAGGTCTTACCTTAAACATTAAAAAAAAAAAAAAAAAAAAAATTTAAATACCTTAAATATTAAAAAAAAAATAAAATAAAATTTTAAATACTAAATTGTTATATAATATCACACCTACGTAATATGTGTTGTACTGTATTTATAAATATAGTTGGGTTTAAAATTTGAATATTATTTGAAGCAATTGTAAATAGAAAATATGAAAGCGAACAAATATTTCTTAATAGCCATGCTAGAAATATTAACAAATAGATTAGTGGCCAAAAAATTATTAGCAAACTTAGTAGCTAGATAAAAAGCTAGCTTATTAACTTCAAACACTAGATTTTTAGTATATATATGATGAATTACATAAATCAATTGGGTTATAATCGGTTAATCAACCCAAACCGAATAATTTCGGTTAACCAGTTGAAGAAATTCTTAATCGGTTAACCCAGTACAACTGGTTGAGAATTAGATAATCAGTTGGCAGGGTCGATACAAGCACTAAGTTGTGCCAACCTCTCTACTAGAATCTATGATCAATGAATCGATTTTTCACACGTTGACATAAATTATACATGGATGTTTATATTAGATGTGATATCAGATGTGTTCTTTTAATAGGCTAGATAATTTCTGGATCTTCATTCGATTCTCGTTTCAAGGTCCAAAATTCACTATCTTCTTTATACGAATCTATCCTGTCGATTGGAAACCATTGCCAACATAAGTCGTTAAATGTATTGTCTGGTATCGCAGGAGATTGAATAGTAGTCGAAGGGAAAAGATGAATTTGGAGAATCTTTAAAGCGTAAAAGACACAAGAACTGGTTAAGGAGACGAAATATCATTCATTATTCGAGACTAACATGCAAGCTGTGGCCATAAGGAAGGATATTGGTATTATATAAGGTGCTTTGCGTTCGAGAGAAGCTGTGATCATTCTTGACAAATATCGAATAATTGTTATTTTATTTTTAATATTAGTGCAAACTATGTGATGAATGTACCTTTCATTATAAAAGTCCAATCGATTTCCAACGATAATGATATCTTTTAGTTTTATTCTGTCCCAATTGGCCTCGATCAAATTATTATATAATCCGAGTGGACAATGCGGCATATAAAATAAGGTTTGGTTAGTGACAACGCGTTTCGCCTTCTTTATTATGTCAAGTAGATTCCATTAGATCAAATTTGCATGGTAATATTACCATTTAGGGCAAAAATAGTTTTTGAACATACCTCGTTGATTTTAATTGATTCAATATTATAATGAGTCAAAACTTCAGTATCAACTTGGGAAAGAATAGGATCATACGCATATATTTTTCCTGTTATCTTTAATTTTTTATGTATTATTTAATGTCCTAAAATTTGTTGTCGATGACGATTTCCAATTCACCTGAAATAAGTTCTTAAAAAGCAACATTAATGCGAATTGATATTGTGATGTGATGGATTTTTCGATGCTTCCAATTCCGTAGCATACTATATCAACAAGTGCTGGACGATTTGGTGGAAGAAGTTGGAAATCGATTATCTCTGAAACAAATAATTTCTTTGATTGATTTCGCTGTAATGTAACATTAGAAACTGTTCTCAGAAATGTTAATTACCTTTCAATTCCTGAAAAAATTCACTTTTTTTTAGTGCCTGCCTGATAGATCAAAATGATAAAATTAATCTTTCCTCTTAATGTGTCATGTTATCTCATACGTATCGAAATTTCTTTGACGAACATTTTCTCCTCTATAAAATAGATCACATTCTCGGACGAATTCTGCATCGTATTTTTACTACGGTCCTTTTTTTTTGAATCTTTATTCAGATACTGAAAATTATGTTTTTTTTTAATCGTTGGTGATATTCTTGCAGGTTTTACTGCCGTTCTTTTTGAAACAATTTTCCATTCTTCGTTTTGCATCGTCATGTGATACTCAAGAAAGTAAACCAAAGAATTTCAATTGTCGAAAAGAACATTACCATGGAGTATAACGGGCTTTTAATTTGATTGGTCGATATCGAAATGTTAACTATTTAACTGTTAACTACATGTTAAAGTCTTAATATAGTATCGATTTGCAGACCTTTTCGTTCTGCAATTCTGCAATCTGTCAAGCAATTTGTAATTCAAATTTTAGCTAAGAAACGTTTTATTTCAATTTATTAATAATTAGTCATTTAAAGTTTAGTACGTACGTATTAGTGTGATTTAATGCGTTATAAATTATATACTATATGTACAGTATATACAGTAATATACGTACATATACGTACAATATAGTGATTTCTAAAATCAGTGTTTTCTAGTTATTCGTATCTTGCTACGTACTTGTACTGTATTACAATTTTGCTAAATATTGTTACTATACCTTTCAAAAAATTTTTAAATTATATACTGTAATTTTATCAATCCTGAACACAAAAAAGAAATCAAAATTCTGATACTATTACAGTTGTATCTAATTTTAACCGATAATGCGAAAATGCTTGGATTTATTTCAAATATTTGAATCCATGTTTATTGAAATAGTTTTTTTTTTAGAACATAGATTTCATTATGATGTCAACGTTCACAATAATAGCAACTTTACGTTTCAAAGAGTTTACTATTTTTAACACGTTCATACATTGGCAATGAAAGGCCAAAATGCTTTGTAACTTTGGTACGTACGATTTGCAATATAACGATGACGATAAAAGAATGTAGATATTTCTGTATTTTGGAAATTATAGTATTTTTGAACAAATGCTTGGTTCTTGATGATGTCCATCGGACTTTGTAACCCTATTCCTATATATTATAATTATTACGAATTTCACTCGCATAAGAAATATCACGTGTATAGTCCATTCTTGGCATACTCTTGTTTTTATTGGTTATGCTTGTAGTATCACAACAGTCAGGAGTCTTAAATTGTTCAGGTGGCCAAACATAAAATGTATTTTTCGCTTCTCGTGTTTAACCTCAAAATTCGTTCGCTAATTCTGTTAATAAAGTATGCCAGCATTGTCATATTTTGTTCAAGCCCTTAAATCCGACCTTTGGTTTGTTTTACAGCCTTCGTGTTTCTTATCCTATGAATATTTTTAATTAACGTTTCTTCTTTTTTTCCTTTATTGTACAATTTTATATTAACTTATTCTTAAAGATTCAAATTACAACACGATGGCCGCGCCAGTGGGAATATTACGAAATGCTAACCAGACGCAACAGGTAATTTCTGATTTGAAATTGCCTATTCTCAAGGCTTGATCTATTGTATTTTTTTTTTCTTGGAATTTGAACAAGTTATGGTATTGATCATTTTAATATTACCGTGAATAGGGTAAATCTACAATAGTTGCCCCTTTTTCTGATTCAGATTCGGAACAAGAAGGCATCAATAGCACAGACTATGGCCAAGAGTATGAAACTGAACCTGAAGGTGAATTGAACACTGAGGAGGCACAAGAAACTTTGCAACATGAAACTTTAGTAAAAGCAGGATACCTTGCTAAAAGACAAGAGAGACGGAAAGTAGGGAATAAGGTCTATATTTATACATACAAATTTTGTTAAATGATATCATACTCAAAGTCATAGCTCTTAATAATATAGATCTATCAATACTTAGAATTGGAAAAAGAGATGGTTTGTGTTAAGGTCAACAAAGTTGGCTTATTACAAAAGTGAAAAGGTAATGATACACAATGGATTAATCAGTGTTGATTAAGAACTTGTAAGTAATTATTATTTTATAATATTATTAGGAATATGAGCTTTTGAAAATTTTGGACTTGAATGATATTCACGCGGTTGCTGAGGTGAAGGTGAAAAATAGGTCCAATGTATTTGGTATTGTTACGCCTAAGCGTACATTTTACGTCCAAGCGGAAAATAAAAAAGGTCTTGATGATTGGGTGGATGCAATAAATAAAGTCAAGAAAGAAGTTCAAGAAAATGATGAACTTTTTGATGATGAAGGAAGTCAAGCTGATGCTGAAGATACGGTGACAAAAGGGAAAAAAACTAAACGTCTCACTATTCAATTAAAATCCAAAATTTCAGCGCCAGTTTCGGATAAACAGACTACTAAAACCTCGGCGAAAGAGACATCTGCTATTGATATTCCAAATTCGCAAGTTCAAACAGCAGAACATGGTGAAGGTGGAAATTCATACGTATCAGTTTCCTCTTTTACATCCGGAGGCTCCATTCCTAATGTATCATCACAACCTTCAAGTCCGGTAACAGCTAATTTTGTGCCGGAAAGAAAGGATAGTAGTGATCCTACTGCCAGTTCTGAAGAGGAAGAGGGAGGCCCCGTTGATGTAACAGGTGAAAATGTCAATAATGATGGTCGTGAAATCCAAAAAGGATATTTATTTAAACTTGATAGATATAAGGTAATTGAACAATTCTTGAACATTAATAAAAAGTTGTTTATTTTTTTTGATAACTATAACTTGAACATTATTTATTTTATAGGCAACTTGGAAAAAAAGATGGTTTGTACTAGATAACAAGAAACTAGCATATTACAAAGACCCTAAGGTGAAAATCAATTAGGTTTATATACTCCATGTTATTTATGTATTTAACACAATTTTATAATTTCAGGATCATCGTCCTCATTTGAATCTTAATCTTTCGGATATTCTCGATGCTATCGAAACTGATTCTTCTCCCTACAAATCAAGACAACATTGTTTCAAAATAATTACTCCTAAACGAACATATATTTGTTGTGCTCCTGATGAAAAATCTCTAGTAACGTGGTTGGCTGCTCTACAAGTAGCACTAACAAAGACAAAGGAGAAACTAAAAGCAGAGTCTTGATGACTTATGTAAATATATGATCATTGGAATTTAAGATTGGTGTTGGTTAATTTCTCTATACTTCATGTCTAAACGACGTGTGGTGCTTTCTTATTAATACTTTTATTATTTTATTTTATTGATCAGTGTTGCTGTTTGCTGTATTGCTTTACTGGATTCTATAATAATTATAATAGTAATTTTTTTGTAATTGGTTCAATACCAAATTTATTTTTTTCTCTAGAAATTCTGTTTTTCTTCTGCAATTAATGTTTTCATTTCTCTGCTAGAAACAAATTATTTTGTTATTAATTATATTCATTTACTTTGTTTTAATAAATTTATACCCCTTTTTTATTTTGATTTCATGACTGAATTCAATATTTTTTTTTACAATCACATGATATAAGAATATTTTCAATAATAAATTTTTCAACGAATATTCAAATTTGCTTAATTATTTCATATACTCATACTTTTAGTATATATAGTATTTATTAATAATGCTAAAAAAAAGCTTTACAAAAAGTTGATCATAATTATTATTATTACTGGTTTTATTATTATTCTAAAATGTAACGATTGATATAATGATGAACATGGTAAGCATTTAATAAAGGTAGAAATTCGTTTAAGTGCTTTATTTTTATTGACAATGTGAGGATCACATGAAAAGATTTTCAAAGTCAAAAATGTCAAATATGTAAATAAATAGAGATACAGTATTTTACTTCACCTAACGCTAAATCAGTAAATTTAAAATATATTAAAAAATGAACAAAACTAGACAAAAAAACTTTTTTAAGAAAATAAAACGTTTTTCATAAAATAATATACTGTATATCAGAATGCTTAAAAATGATATAATACATATTACCTAAACATCTGCATATGGTAACCGGGATCTTATTCATTTTTTTTAAATTCTGAAATTGAATAAATTGAATAGTACCCGAATACTACGTATATTTGGGGGATATGTCATATGAAAAGCAGTGTTGAAAAATATGCTGTGCAAAAAAATTTTTTTATACATGAATGTTATTCTATTTTTTGTGCAATTTGCACAGCCCATTGTTA